CAATTAATACAACGCAAAGAAACACTTACTTTGAAGACCTGAAGACCACAAATGGTTTATCAATATCTATGAGATGTGTATATATTTGCAGATATTATCACAGATTGTGTGCAAACATCCTCTCAATTAGCGATCACTTTATGTTTGAATTGCAATTAACTATAAATTAATGCCAATATTATTATCAAAACATGTCATCAAAGCATTCAATCCGCAGTCAAATAGACTCACAAATAAAATATTTGAATTTAAAAAATGCAAAACAATTTCAATATTGAAATACAATAACAACTCTTGGCTTTTGGTAGCGATTAATGCAAAACAACAAAAATAAAAACAAGTATTTGATTACAGATTTTGGTATTCAATCAAATGAATCAATGAATTGAATGTATAATTAAATAATGTGTAGAAAATAGGTGTCAAAAAACAGTGACTGATATCTCATGACAAATGTTACCAAACATTACATATGATTAACGATTATAACAACACAAACACCGCTCAGAGTCTCAACTTGTGGTCAGATTTTAGCGATTAATTCAATGATTGAGATTTCAGTCGCAAACAAATGGTGGCATAAGATATGGTAATCATGTTTTCAATACATGTATAAACGCTGTAATGACTGATGCATTGAATTGAACGCAAACTGTAATCAAAACTAATAATAAAAAACAGGAAAAACAGTGAATTAAATGTTTCGGAGAAATGAATGCAAGAGTTATGCGAATGAATTGAGAGTCGAAACCAGTGTTTGAGTACTTTTTTTTGCCAATCGTTGCGTTTAAATGTCTGCTCAGGAATGCAGGCATTCATTCAGTCAACACATCTGTTCGTTCATACATTACGGCCGACTAATTGGGTTACGCTTAGCGTTGAGTTGAAGGCAATGGGGTTTCCCATTGAGTGCTTTCATTGGTGACAGTATTTATGGTGCGATTATTTGTGTAGTATTTCTATAGTAAGCGATGACATCACATAAGAGGCGGTGTTTTTCTTAGTAAACGCATAACTCATTGATATGTAATGTCATTGAATTTGTCTCACATTTCAAACATTTTTGTGCACATATTTATGGCAAACACTGTTTTCACTACTGTTTTCCAGTTATAGTGAGAGGTGTGTTGTAATTGTAGTGCTATTGTATTGCACATCATAATCACACATCACACCTAGCTCATTAATTAGCATTATCCATTTACCACTATCATTATGTAGTATTAGATTACATTGTATTTACTGTAATATAAGTTTATTACAATTATTACAACATAAAGCATAATTAGTTGCCTATGTAATTAACTTGATAAAACAGCTTACCCCAATATGTGCATGTACATTTTATTCACGCAATACAATATGCGATACTTATAGGCGTATTGTGTTTGAATGATAAACACATAGAGTATTATAAGACATGTATTTAACGATTTGTATGTCTAGTAATTTGTGTATAACTTAATGATTTTGTTATGCAATACTGACTGTAATCGATAAGCAGCACTACTGAGCAGTGGTGTGAGTAGCCAGACATATGAGCGATAAACAGATTCAATGCACTGTCAATGCTAGCGCATAACACCACGAAAATATTGAGAATACAATACTGTTTTCCAGTTATAGTGAGAGGTGTGTTGTAATTGTAGTGCTATTGTATTGCACATCATCATCACACCTCACACCTAGCTCATTAATTAGCATTATCCATTTACCAGTATCATTATGCAGTATTACTATCAGGCAACCAATTCTAGGACCACTATCTTTAGGTTAAAGTAAATATTATTGTAATGAAATAGCATTAACTGTACTAAAGCTTGATATCGTGTATTGACTGGTATTGACTCATAGATGGTGTGTGTGTTTACTTTTCCCTAAAGATAGTGGTCCTAGAATTGGTTGCACATATAGTTAGATTACATTGTATTTACTGTAATATAAGTTTATTACAATATTATAAACATAAAGCATAATTAGTTGCCTATGTAATTAACTTGATAAAACAGCTTACCCCAATATGTGCATGTACATTTATTCACGCAATACAATATGCGATACTTATAGGCGTATTGTGTTTGAATGATAAACACATAGAGTATTATAAGACATGTATTTAACGATTTGTATGTCTAGTAATTTGTGTATAACTTAATGATTTTTTATTCACGCAATACAATATGCGATACTTATAGGCGTATTGTGTTTGAATGATAAACACATAGAGTATTATAAGACATGTATTTAACGATTTGTATGTCTAGTAATTTGTGTATAACTTAATGATTGTCTTGAAATGAACTCAACTATAATTGAATGCAAATTAAATTAAGGAAAGCTTGCGTTGAATACACGAAGTGATAAATAGACCATAAAGTGATGCATTGGATTCAATTCACTGCCAGTCCATGGGTTTTAGCGCCACATAAAAAGTTTTGGCACAAATAAATGTCTAGTTTATTATTTTTTATATCCTTTTTATAATTAGCAATAAAGTTATTGAATTTTTTAATAAGACATACGACTACTACTGTATGTCCATAAGGTGTCCAAAGGTTAGTCCCAGATATAGTGATAGAAATAATGTTTTAGTCAATTATAAGTTATAATTTATTTTAAGTTATATTTGTATAAATTTAGTTTCTGGTATTAAATTAGAATTTTATTATAAAATATTGTATAAATTAAAACTATATAAAATGTATAAAACTTTCATTTCATATACAAAATCATTGGATGAGTGACTTGTGATGAGTAAAATCATTGTAAAATCAAAGTAATATTATTAAACGAGTAAATTGTCTGCTATTTGACATGTCTTTTGTTGTAAACATATTTAATCGTTTCGACGCTAACATTGAATATAATGGCAAAGAGGGCGAGGAATGCGCCCACTTTCCAGATGGCAAACACATCTATCCTATTGATCAGATACCCTCCCGCCAGAGCCCCGATGCCCAGCCCTATGCCCTCAAAAGCGCCGGACATAATGCCCTGTAATGTTGCGTAACTTCTAGACGTCAGATCGTCCACAGAATTAACGGCGATTGTCTCGTCAACGGCTTCCGTGTCTGCCATCTCTTTGATCGCTTCTCTCGCCGCCAAAATCCGGTGATTCTCTTGAGTGGCGTAATGTTGAGCCAAATCTGTCATCACTGTATAAAACAGTCCGAAAGTCAACCCCTGAACCACTTCTACGAGCAAAATATCCCAATAAGTGGTGCCGACAGTGAAAACATAGCCGTAGATGAAATATCTGAAGGCAAAAGCGGCCAAACTTATGTTGAGTGACATCGAAGGCCCGCAATATCTAAGTATAACATTGGCTACAATGAAGAGCGGAAGCTCTCCGGCGAATGACTCGACGAATAGCGCCAAACCCATGAGCAGAGAGTCGTTGCCACGGATTTTCTCCAAGTATATGAAATAATAAGACCAGTGAAAGGCAGTCAATGCGCCGAAGATTAACACAATAACTATGTATTGAATTAGCGATGGATTGTTTCTGAATATATGAAACACGTGTACCACTGCTTTCCACGAGGCTTTGAACGGAGCCTTCAATACCACCGAAAGTGGTTTCCGCTATTAATTACATAATAATTGAGTTAATATTTAGGATTTTAGTTATCGGTTAGAAAATATTTACATCTGAGACAATGTTTGGCACGATTTCAGAGTTAGTCTCCGATTCATTGGTCTTCAAGTCGAGCTTAAAGTACATGACAATCAA